TTTTTTCAAATTTTTCAAAACATTTAACAAGTTTTTTTTGTTTTAAAAAAAAATTTTCTGAAAAGTTGTCCAGAAATTTTTTGAAAAATTTGGAAAAAACATTCCGATTCCAATTTTTTTACCCGGAGTATTTCTGGAATGAGTTTTGGATTTTTAAATTATTCTTTACTCAATTCTCAAAAAATAATGCATTTGATCCAATTATAATGATGATTTATTAATTTTATTTATTTTATTCCATCTTTTTTTTTCCGAATCCAAATGATTTCAATTGAAGAAATAATTGTCTACATTTCGTTTTGAAAAACAACAAAACAAAGATGATTCTTAGAATAACTTTCCACTGTTGTGCCGTAGGTCAGGTATCGGTAAATTTCTGTAAGACTCCAATATGTTGCCCTGAATTCCAATTTTACGTAATTTTTGAGGAACACCACGCAATTCATTCATTGATCCTCCGTTACCCTGTGGAATCGTAAATATTTCCAAAATTTATGACTTTCCCAGGTTCTACGTACTTAGAAAGCCAAGGGCATGAGGCAATGACCCGCCGGTTTATAGTACTATAGCCACAGAATAACATAAACAATATTTTGTTATTTTATTGCCTCTCGTCGGCAAACTGCATTTTTCAAACTTTCGCTTAAAATCTTCAGGTTTTCAGGATTATCCTGATCAGGAAGGCAAGCCTATTCATATCGATATATCTAAAATTATTGAATCGTTTCTCATTGTTTATTCACTCCGACTTCTAAACCCAAATTTCATTTCTTTTCTCTATTTTCTCTTCATGCAACATAAAAGGGAAGACTTCACATTTGATCGGATAATTAATTATTATTTATAAAAAAAATGAGTAATTAATTATCGACACTACAAATGCAAATTATTACAGTTTTAAAAATGATAAATAAAAATCGATTCACGAGAATCTGTAAATCTCCACGAACCCGTTTTGTTTAAATAAAATGTAAATGGTAATCTGGAGTTTCCAACATTTTTCAACACTTTCTAACTAGCTGTCGAGCCTCTCGGTTTTGGGGTTTCCTGAATTGGTTGGAGTTGGAGATTCCGAAAGGAACAATTCTCCTGAGGTAGTCAATACTTCGAGAGTCAAGAGGGAAAGTGCCAAATTTTCCCACAAGGACTGACCAACATCGAATATTGACCCATAAATTCACAAAAATTATTATAATTTATGGGAGTCTCAAGTGTCAATGGGAATGTCCCTGAAAATAGGTAAACGTTGAATGCTGTGTTGGCCACAAATTCACAACACAACTTTATTGCCAGAAGCAATAAAAATATATAGCGTCTTAATAAAGAAATATTTTTACAATAATTTCCCTCAATACAATAACACGAATTTCAAAAAAAGGAAATTACTAAAAAAATAGAATTTCCCAATATTAATCCTCAAATTCATAAACAAAAAACCCATTCTACTCAATTAATTCATTCATCAGTTTAAACAATGGAATGTATTATTATTATTGCATAAAAATATTTTACATTCTCTGAAACCAGAAAAAAAAAAATTATTTCACTTTTCGATCGTCAAATTAAAGAAGAAACAAATCAATTATCTTTATAGTTAATTGATTAATTAATTAGTCATTGAATCTGAAAATAAAACTATCTGGTCACACCCTCGACAGAATCTTTAACCCGCATCCATTGATATCGGCGGACTGTCGGTTCTTTGTCGGGTGTTTACCCAGTAATTCCCCCAATCGTGTTGAAATGACGGAAGTATAGAATAACGCTAAATACACCTATACAGATCCCACGGGTGCATTGTGGATTTTCGATGCTGAATCAAAATACTCGACTCACTTACCCACCGATTTCTCGTACCTCAAGTAAATACACCCCTATGAAGATTACCGAAAATAATTTCAACGATTTTTTTGGAAGGACAAATGCGACTTTTATCGAAAAGGGGAGTGCGGGCTTTCATCCTGTCGGCAACTGGAATTCAGAGCTATTTATCACCCTCGGTAAGCTGTTTGTTTGAATGAACCACTTCCTTTTATCAAATGCCACATCTTTCACTATTTTTCATAAAGATTCGTGAGGGCATACTGTTACCACTGTTTTTCAATTCCATTTTCCTACGAAAATACACTTATAGAACAATTTATTTATTGTTAACAAATAAAAAGTGAGACTTAGTTTGTTGTATGAATTTTTCAATGAATGAAGCTCGTCTGATATAAATAAATTGTTCCATCAATGTGTGAATACTTATTGAATTTCTAATTATCACAATTGACTTATTGAAATAGAAATGAATGGAGGGCATTTATCCAGGAGGTTCTATTAATTCTTTTTTTTTTTTGTTGTGTCCAGGGTGTTCGGGTGATCTCGAACTTCAAAGAACTTTTTCCTTTCAATGAGATCGGTATTCTTTTTCTTTGTGACTAACCCTTCGGAGTTTTCCAGTGGGAAAATCTCGGAGGGAAATTTATCAATCTGTGAGGACCACCCTCGGGATCAATCCCCGAAGAAGATGCTATTCACCAGGAAATCGATGACGGATAGCCATCAGTCGAGTCTGCGACGTCAATGGCTGATGCACCTGACAAATCACAGGATTACATACAATAATTCAACGGCTGGAATCCGATGCACCAGAACACGACAAAAAAAAAACTCGGAAGAATTGATTGCCCGTGGTTTTTTTTTATAAAAAAAAATCGATTTTTTGAGGTTTAATCGACATTTTTTTTACAGGTGAAAGCTTCGGGGGTTGAAAATGAAGATTAAATCACGCAAGGTTCCATCGAAATTGTTTTATCTAAAACAATATAAAATTAAAAAGAATTAATACAAAAAATTGATGGAAATTTGAATGGTGCAGTTTTTATAATTTTGAAATGATTTTTGAAATTGTTTTTAAAATGATTTTTTAGATGATTTTTAAAATGATTTTTAAAATGATTTTTAAAATGATTTTTGAAATAATTTTTGAAATGATTTTTGAAATGATTTTTGAAATGATTTTTTAAATAATTTTTGAAATGATTTTTTAAATGATTTTTGAAATGATTTTTGAAATGATTTTTGAAATGATTTTTAAAATGATTTTTGAAATAATTTTTGAAATGATTTTTAAAATGATTTTTGGAGTGAGAAAGTGGCCAAGACCTATATCGTTAAAAGTGAAAATATTTTTTCCGTAGAACTGATTGTCTGGGGCGTAGACAATCCATCCCCTCCGTGACTAATTGCCAGAGCTACTGAATTTTTACATAGAGCATTGACGACCGGGTAACCCGGATACCACGGGCAACATGTACCCCCGGAAAAACTTTCCCATCTTACCCTCTTGGCTTTCCACATCTCCATTATAGAAGACACCCCCGTTGGTGGGCAGAGGTTCTTTGACTTGAAACCAAGAAAATCGGGCTACCGAATATTTAAGAGGATCCACCCGATTTGCACAGTAGGTCCACTGGTCCATGCACTCGTATTCACCATTTACAACCCAGTAACCAGTGGTGGGCCACAGGAGGGGGGTACGTACTTTTAGCAAACGTGAATTTTGATTTACAACCACATCGCCAAAGCCCGACTGACTCACTGACTGACTTTAACTCGAGTAGTCCTCCTCTCAATCCCCACCATCCTCAACAACATAAATTCCTTCTTCCAGTACCAGTGCAACAATTTCTGAAGGTAGAAGTGAAATTCATGCGCCGGATATGACCAGAAGAAAGTCACTGGCCACCTTCAACTTGGTCATCTTTAACCTTGAAACTGGAAGAGCAGAAAACCACCCATCGAGGCTTGCCACAACAATTTCCAATGTTCACGATGTAGGTTACCAAGTCGATGCACCCCAGGATCTCTTTACCTACTGCTTTACTGCCCTACAATAAATCAACTTCACTTCTTCTGGTTCAGTTGTCGTTTAGAAAGTTGCTACTGTGCATTTTAATACCTGAAGACGTCACACCCCCAGACCTCGAGAGTTCAACTGGATTTCCACATTTTTTTATTGAGAAATCGGTTAGCGGATTTAATTGTTCACCTTTGGGGGGATACTATAATATTATAATAACAAAAAAATATCATGCATTCCCCGCTGAAGGGTTTGCACCCCAATTTTACACTAATTGTTATTATTATTATATATATATGCGAGAAAACGATTTCTATGAAATTATTGAATTTCGCGCGGGAATCGATCCTAATCGATCCTAAGATAATTGAGCGAATCGATCTAAAGTACTTAGCGCACATAAAAAAATAATTAAGAAACATAAAAGTAAATAATAATATTGAATATTGTTATCTGGTTATGACAAAAAAAAAATCGACTTATTACTGATTGATAAATTCAATTAAATAAATGTATTAAAAATATTTATTAGATAATTTGGGGGAGGGGGGGTTAAAATAATAAAATAATTAAGAATGTCGATCGATCGGCAGACGATCGATCGGTATGGGAGAGAGAGAGGATAAATATGGAAGGGAATAATTGAAGAATTAATTTAATCCAAGTACCCTCGCTCGTTCAATATTGGAAGAATTTTTTCCATGACTTCTTGGGCGTGTGGGTATTTCAGAGGATTCACCCTGGACTCTCCGTTCTGCAGGAGATCGTCGATACCCTCGACGTCGTCATCCTCGGCTAACATTTTTGGCCAGAAAATGAGAGCGGCCAGGAGAGCGAATGCTCGACGTTTATGCATTGATTTTTTTAATTGCGTTAGTGTAGGTGGATCTCGAGAGCAGCCCAATTTCTTCATTGATATTTTTAAACGAGTCAGATATGTCTGCAGGAATATATCGTCGTGGCTCATCTTTATGTTTCGCTCGGGAGCGATACTGAGGAAGTACAGGAGGTCGATCGCTGGGCTTGTCCAGATCGAGATCTGATAGTCGATCTTAAGAAAAAAAGAAAAACTCGATGATTTCAGTCATTAGTTTTAATTACTTAATAATCGTAGGGGGGGCATTGTTATTGATGACTCTCCATTATTTATTCGATATAAAAAGCTTAATGTAAAAATAAATTGGGACTTCATGATTATCAATAACGTAATTGTTTATTTATTTTTTTTATCAAACAAAAAAAATCGGAAAATAAAACGATTTAATTTTTGGGAAAGGGTTTGAAAAATTTTTCAAAAATTTGAATAGGATATTTTTTTTTATAATTTAGATGGCGTATTTTTTGAGAATATTAAAAAATAAAAAAAGTAAGATAACAACAGTATAATTAAAAGAACAAATTATATTCCCAAAAATTTCCAGAAAAATTTTTCAAAACATTTCCCAAAAATACAATTGTTTCATTTCCTGATTTTTTTTTGTTTAAAAAAAAAATTACTGAGGAGTTTTCCAGAAATTTTTTGAAAATTTGAAAAAAATATTTCGATTACATTTTTTTTCGCGGGTTATCAGGAGTAATTATTCTTGTTAATGACTTATACTTACCAGACGAGCCTCTGTTGATTCTCCATTGTCATCATCCCGAATCATAATATTGTTAACCCACACGTCTCCATGATTCAAGACCTTCAGTTCATCCCCATCGCAATGATAAATTTTCTGGAGCTCCTGACGTACGCCTTGCGACCTTTTCCTGAGTTTCCCAGCTATTAAACTAAATTCACTACCTGTCCAGGTACAAACCCCTTCAGCAATAGCTTCCAATCCTTTCGATATCAAATTGAATAATGTGTCCGTGGTATTCTCATTAATAAGTCCATTCTTAAAACGAGAGACAAACTCCCGATCCTGACGAAATACCATAAAAAATTAAAAAATAAAATTAATCTATAAAAATCACTCGTCAAAAGAATTTTCTTCACCGAAGATTACCTGTTCATCCAATAAAACCGACGCAGCATGAAAATCCGCGAGATTTTCCAAAACAAGAGACATTTGTTGCTCATTAAATCCAACTTTTCGATTTTTGTTGTTAAATCCACGAGCAACAAGATCCTCCATAACAATAACCTGCGGTTCCATCGACGAGTAATAAACCTTGGGGCCCAATCGTCTCCCAAGAAGTTCCTCCATCTTAGGCACAACTTCCTCCAACATTGCCCTCTCAATATTAAAAATATTGGACTTGCGTAAAAGCTCTAGAGTTTTTTCACAAGCACTCGGTTCTTCCTTCATAATCAGATGATCCAGATAGAATCCTTTTCCCCCAGGATGTACCCTCGATCCCTGAGAACTATACTTCACAGTAAATCTCGTCAATTCACTCAGATAATTCTCCCCTTTTTTCACCGCCGGTTTTTTCTCCAGGAGCACTGCATCCTGGATCGTCGGATCCTGCAATCCTCGACGGAGAATCTCCTGGAAGAAGACGTCGTCAGGAGCAAGACTGGCTAAAGCCATCCTCGACACTCAGCACAACCGATCCTAATTACTGATTACAACGATTACTTTTAAGGAGAGTATTATCAATTAATTAATTATCAGACGACTCGAGGGGAGGTACCACCTAGGCGGGAATCCTGGAGGATTCTGGTTTGATTTAAAATTAAACATCGCTGTCCCCAGATTTTTCATTCCTCTCTCAAGGTCAAATACTCATTCAGGGGAAGGGGAAGACATTAATAGCAGGTAGTTATCATAATTCATGAGCACATCTGTGATAGCAACATAGTAATCATCGTTTTTAATTATAACTTACATTGTCGGTGCATTTAAAGTTGTATTCATTCTTGTCTAGTTGTTTGTCTTGAAATTTTTTTTATCACCTCAATCATTACGTAATCATTACGTAATGAGTCTGTACTCCATTGATAATGTGTCTCACAGATCCTGAAGGTAATGCATCAGTAATTGAGTGATTGAGTCACCTTTTTTCTCGAGTATATTTTCTGTTACAAGAGTTCAAGATTTTTTGTTGGATTTCTTTTATTCGTTTGTAAAATTCATAATTAAATATTATCAATCAAGTAATGGCTTTAACCAATCGATACCAGTCGTCGATGTTATCGATTATATCGAAATATATTCGCGACTTCTGGGGAATTAATCTCGTCGAGTGTCACTTCTCAACTGAAGTGATAAAAATTGATCTCATACTCATCCTTTTATTTATTATTTATTCAAATTTGCATTCGCGGAAAGAGACTTGCATGCCGCGAATATTCATGGAATTACGTAATAATGAGACTGATAATATAATCATTATATCTCAAATATTGAGTAAACGAAAAGATAAATCTCGAGAAATATCGAGAGCATGGAATAACATGAATTAATTTAGAGCCTTGAAAGCTGTTATGATCCCAGAAGATTTATTGATATCTGATTTTTTTTCCGAATCTAAATTACTCCTCACAATAATTTTAATTACCGGTTGAATTTCGATTTTGCCGATTGAATTGATCGCAAGAAGAGAGCGCGAAAATCTGATTAATTTGAAAACAAAAAGTTATTAATGAATCATTGAATTTTAAAATATATCCTCCATCGTCTTTATTTCACGGAAAAATTCGCGAGTGCAAAAAATGCAGTATAAAATCCCGCCAATCAATCACTTTGAAAATAAAATAAATAAAAATAAAAAACTCGGCAAATCGTGGGAGTGACGTAAGAAAATTTTCCCTAGTCTCTTCTATTATTTTTTTCCCCAATTGTTTACGATTTTTGTGATGTTTACACGCGCCAAAGGTTATAAAAAAAAATGGTTAACCTCAGGAATGTGAATTTGAATTGATTTTTTGGAAATTTTTTTCGGTGAAAAAAATGGTTGGTGGTAAAGAATTTGGTCAAACAAGGTGTAAACCAATAAACATGGAGACTTAAAAAACGGAGGCTGAAGTTATGATTTACAACGCGGGACATGACGTGAAAAAATGAAAAAAAAAAAAGGAAAAAGAAAAAAATGGCCTGCGGTAGCCAGAAACGATCCTCGGTGTCGTACTTGGTGTACTCGGTTTACCGGATTTACCGCATGGACATTGTACACCCGGAGTCACCACCATCTCCTCAGCATCAACGAGCACCAGAGAGGGGCCCCCTAAACTTTAATCTTTTCAAAAAGCCCAAGTTGCCGCGAGTACTTTTGTCTGTGACCTCTATAAACTTATATGACCTCACCACGGTCACTTCCTCGTTTTCTTTTTGTCTGACCATTTTCCTTGAAAAATTGTACGGTAGCCTGAAGATGATTTATCACCTCCATTTTACAAGTTCCACAGTTTTTTCCATTCCTTAAAAATTCAAGACTCGTTCATGTTTTTTAATTAAATTTTTTTACATTTTTTTTAAGGAAAAATTTACGGGGAATAAACAAAAAAGCGTTTTAGTTCATAATAAATAATAAATCAAAATTAAACAAAAAAAACTCATAATATTTTCTCATCTTTATCAATATTTAATTATACAATATTATTATTAATTATTATTACCTGTAATTATGATTATTTAAAATGATTAATTTCGAGGAATATCAATATTAATTACATAATAATAATATTGTTATTACATAATTATAATTATATAATTGGGGATTATTATTATTTGCATCGAGGGGGGGATGAAAATGTAAAATGTTGACAATAAAATAAAATATGAATAAAATATTGTTTAATTTTTTAATAAGTGTTCCCTTAAATAATTCGGAAAAGTGCAACGAACCCCCGGCCATGTGAAAATATTAATATTAACAATATTAACTAAGACACAGCGTGAAGGAAATGTTTGAAAATAAGAAGGGGTAGAGGTATCGAAAAAAAGAGAGAGTGGACAGAGGGCAACCCCCTGTTGACTTCTCACCCCTGGGACCCATCGTCGTCTCTCCAGAGGTTCTCCAGGATATCTTTCAAGTCCCGCTGCGATGAAATATTTACAAGGCCCACTCTCTAAAACCGATATAAACACGCGGTGCGCGTTCCTGGGACCCGGTGCGCAAATCCTCGGCCACGCGCGTCTCCATGGGGTACATTTTCACCTCTTGAAAACTATTCATACGAATTTAATAATAATAATAATTTAATTTAATAATACTCGAATATTTATTAAAAAAATAAACCAATGCAATTGTTATTATTTTATTATTTTTATTACTTAAGCCCTTTCATTGTAAAATTCATGTGCGAGTCAATTTTTTTGGAATGAACGTGTGAAATAAAAAAATTAGTCTTCAATCAGTCGATAGATTGATTAAAAAATGGTGTCATGTCTTTAAACATTTATTATTATTCTAGGAATAATATTTTAAACAAAAAACTTTAATTAATTAATTATATATATATTCGTATTTATTCCGAATGTTTTTAATGTTTTTTTAAAATGACTTTTCAGTTCAGATATTTCAATTTTTCATCGCGATGTGCAGAAAAATGACTTTTCCGCACTTGTTAGGAAATCGACTATTTTCGAGATGCAGTATCGATCGGTT